GTGCTTCAATTTTACAGTTTTATCGTCACGATATTGTTTGTGGTTTGGATTAACCAAGACGGGTGCAGACGGTAGAAAATATTTTTTTTTAATAATTAATATTTAACAAATGAAAGAAATACTATAGAAAATATATTAATTTAAAACAGTTATAAATTTACCTTAAGTCAAATTGTCTGCGTCTTCTATAAGCTTTTTCTTTTATGTTGCTCATCTATTATTGAATGATTAAACCTGTAATATTAATTTAAAACAATAGTAAGCTAAAAATGTTGTGAGAACATCTACTTTTAAACCAAAATAACATAATGAAATTGAACAATATTTTTGTTAGTTAAATTTTAATAAATCTGTATAAAAATGTTTGATAATTTATTAATATGATCACGACATTTGATAACATTTAATGTGTTATGCTATATCAATAACATTTCTATGTCATTATATATATATAAAGCCATCACATGAGCACTATTTAAAATTATACTATTTAAGACACATTAATATCATTATTCTTTTTCATTGATGTGGACATGTACCTCAGCGTTCCCCGTTAAACATCATAACCAAACATGCACATGTAATCATAGTATAAATCATTTATTTACATTATAAATATCATTCAATATCTTTTTTTTTATACTATGCATATGGAATAAATAAGTATAACTATGCAAATCATTCACATTCATTTCTAGATGATCAATTTGAATAATAAGACAAAAATCATATTTTGTTTCCAGTACCAAGATATCTTGATTAATGCCATTTTAATACAAGTGATTTAGAAGAAATTCAACATTATTACCATAATTTAAAATTAAAAGCATTCACTTCAGCCAACTGACTTGCCTTAATCTTTCAAACACCCTTCATCTGTCTCCAATAGTTTGCTACATATAAAATAAGAAAAATAAATTTTAAGCATATTATTTAACTATGTTTAATTAATCTTTTGATTAATTATCTTGTTTTAATTGTTAAAATCTTTTATTCTAAGTATTTATGTCACTTCAATTTGATTATCAGTGCTACAACCTTAATCAATATCTACGATTTATAATAAAATTTTATTGAATATCTAATTAAAGCTCATTCTAAATTAAAAGTATATACCTTCTCTAGCTCCTGAAGATTGGCTCAACTTGCCTTTGCTAAAAGTTCTCTCGACTTCTGCTTATGCTCTGCTCTATTTCTGGCATGGAAAACTCATATCATCGCCAAGTCGTATGTTTTCACGGGTTAAAGCTCCAAGCCTGCTACTAATGCTTGGGATCGCTATTCTCCACTTTACCCCAATCGATTACGTTGTGTGTTCAATTTAAGCTCAATGCTAAGCCCTACCTCTTTTCTGCCTCCATCTTCTCAAGCACTCAAAGTCATTCAACTACAAAAAGTGGTTTGCGGTCAGTCGTCATTGTTCTCATTTCTGCCCTCATTCCCATCGTCTTGACCTTCGTAAACTTCTTCCATCTTCGACATTGATCGATTCATTTGATGCTCCAACTTGTAATTACTGGCATGATCCAACGCTCGATCTCCTTCTTTCGGTTTTTACGCTGGGGCTTGAGAGTTTTTGTTTGCATCGGTCAAGCTGCTCGTTGTTTCTAGAGTTCACAAATGCTTGAAGTTTCGTTTGAGCCACCTACTGGAGATGCCGCTTCTCCTTCTTCCGCTTCATCATCGTCTTCTTCTTCTTCACCTAGTCTCATTTCAAGTTTTGGTTCAAATCTGATACTTACAGAAACTATCAAAATGCTTCGTTCGAACCTACAACCCTAGTTAGAATTCCTTTTTTTATTTTTGGGTTATTACAATCTCTCTACCTTATAAAAATTTTTTCCTCAAAATTTTAATATCATTACTTTGATTATGATTATATAACTTATTCTAATTTTCTTAAATTTCATATTAAGGTTTTACATTAATTATCCTATTAATTCTTTCGATAAGTTCATTATTAAATTCTAAACTTTAATCTGATACCATTTTTGTTATCATCTATCTCAGGGTTTGGAATTAATTAAGACAGGTACAGATGATCAGGCCGTGGAAAACTAATTTTTCTATATTTATTTTCTATAACTAATATTTAACAAATAAATGATTCACTATAAAAAAGAGATTAAATACAAACAATTATAATTTACCTTAGGTTAGGTTATCCACATCTTCTATAAATATTTTCTTTTATTTTGATCATTTTTTAATGAAATTATTAAACATGTAATATTAATTTAAAACAATAGTAAGCTAAAAATGACAGTGAGTACACTTACTTCTAAATTATAACAACATAACGAAAATAAAATAATATGTATGTTAGTTAAACTTTTAGTAAATCAATATAAAAGAATTTGAGAATTTATGAATATGATCGATCATGATATTTGATAACATTCAATGTATTTTACTATATCAATAACATGTCGATATTATTTTGTACAGGAACACCGTTTAAAATTGTACCATTTAATACACATCAATATTCTTATTCTTTTTCATTTAGGTGCATGAGCAACTTAGTGTTCTTCCGCTATTACTATAAATGGGTGAACTCCATTATAACCAAGCATGCAAATGGAAGTATACTATAAATTAATCATTTTATTCTAAATTTCATCCAATATCGTTCTTTTATAATAGACATACATAATAAATAAATATAACTATGCAAATCATTCACATTACTTTCTATATAATTATTTTGAATAATAAGACAAAATAATCATATTCTATTTGTAGTATCAATGTATTTTGACTAATGCCATTCTATGCGATTGATTTAGAAGAAATACAATATTATTACCATAATTTAAAAGTAAAAGTACTCACCTCGCCTTAATCCTTCAAGCACTCTTAATCTGTCTCTAATATTTAGCTGTCTATAATATAGAATATGTATTTTAAGCATATTATTTAATTATGTTTAATTAATCTTTAATTAATTATGTTATCTTAATTGTTAGTTAGAATATTTAATTTTAAGTATTCGTTCCACTTCAATTTGATTATCAACGCGACAACTTTAATCAATATCCACGATTTGTAATAAATTTTTATTCAATATCCAATTAATGTCCACTATAAATTAAAGTATATACCTTATTTGGCTTCTGAAGACCGGTTTAGCTTGCCATTGCTAAATGCTTGTTCGGCTGCTGCTCATGCTCTGCTTTGCTCCGATTCTGGCATGACAAACTCGTCTCATTGCCTAGTTGTATGTTTTCACTTGTTCAAGCTCGAAGACTGCTACTCAAGTGTGGGGTTGCTCATCTCTTATTCACCCAATCAAACATCTCCCGTGTTCAATTTCAGCACAAGGCTCATTCGCACTTCTATCTCGATTCAACGACTTTGCTGCAAAGCTCTTGTGTGCGATCAACACTAAGCCCTATGTCTTCTCTGCCTCCATCTTCTCAGGAAGTCAAAGTCATTCGTCTATGAAAGGGGTTTGCGGTTAGTCATCGTCATTCTCTTTTCTGTACTAGTTTTTGACGTCTTTACCATCGTAGATATCACTTGTCTTTGGCTTCGATCAATTCATTTGATCTTCGACCTGCAATTACTGGCATGATCCTGCGCTCGATGTTCTTCCTTCAATTTGCACGCTAGGGTTGGAGAGCTTCTGTTTGCGTTGATCGAGCTGCTCGTTGTTTCTAGAGCTCACAAACGTTCGAAGAATTATCTCGCTCGAGACCCTTGTTTGATATATTGCTTCTTCTTTTCTTTTTCTTTTTTGCCTCGCCTCGTCTCTCTTTCATGCTTTCTATTTCCTTCCTCCGTTTCAAATAAGATATTTGATACTTAAATAAACTGTCAAAATGCTTTGTTCGAACCAGCACAACCAGTTAGAATTTATTTATTTATTTATTTTTCAGTTATTACATTTACAATCTTTAATACTACTATTTTTATTATAAATAATGTGTCTGCACTTATAGCTTATTCTATAACTGATTTTGTTATAACCCATTCTCTATATGTGCATAACCAATATCAACAGGCTATGAATTTCTTTGCTGGCTTGTTACTCTTGCTGATGCCCGAGGAAAATGCATTCTGGTAGGTCCCAAGAACAAAGCCGAATGCCTTTTTGATTGCTTGAGATGAATGATTTGTAAAGCACCCAAATTTCCTGTTCAAAATGAATGTGTTACTCTAACAACTCCTTGATAGTAGAGTCTATATTATTATTTCTAAGATTTGGTGGAATCCATCAGGACTTTGGTGGGCATTATGGATGATTATTTTGAAGGATACTACTCCGAGGAAATGATTGAATCTCAGGTAATTCTTTTCACGTTTTGGATCAATATTATCTGTGGCATTCATATTTCATTATTTTATCTTCTTTTGAAATGTTTCTCTTGTTGTGGTTATAGCACAACTAGCTGCATGAATATTTACCGACTTATGTCCCAAATTACCCTTTCAAGCATCTTCATTTTGAAACCCTTTACTTCAGGTGGATCAGCTTGTTTTAGAGGATATAATTCGTGAAAGATTCCCAAAACTTGGTTGCTACCTCACTTCACATTTGTATTGTTTTTATCTCATTAATGTATAATGCTGTAAAATTATTTGTCTTCAATTTGCAGTTAATCATTTAGACTCCCTGGGGGTACAAGTGGCATGGGTGACTGGACCTTGGTTCCTTTCAATTTTTTTAAATGTGATTCCCTGGGAAAGTGGTCAGGTTTTACTTCTCTCATAATTTAGTTTTCTTATAAAATTGCTGTATGTCTTAACTTCTGTATCCATTTGTAATTATTTCCCTTAATATTCCACTTAATATCCAATACTACTTTTTTCGATGGCTCTTTTTTATTACTTCTCAAGGCTATATGCTATAATAATGTTATCCGTGTTAATCAAATCTTTTTTGATATGGTTCAATAACTCCAGCTCTTCGTGTTTGGGATGTGCTTCTTTTTGATGGAAATCGTGTGATGTTGTTCCATACGGCTCTTGCATTACTGGAGTTATATGGTACTGTTAAATCTGCTTAATTTTGTTGCCTTCGTTTGTATCCAACTTTAGTCTGTTATTATAGTTAAACTGTTGTATTTTTTTCATGTGCTTCATAGGTTCTTCATTGGTGACTACAAAGGATGCAGGAGACGCAATAATGTTACTTCAGTCACTTGCTGGTTCAACTTTTGACAGCAGTCAGCTTGTTCTGACAGCTTGTATAGGTTTTCAGTCGGTTAATGAAGTAAAATTGCAGGAGCTTAGGGAGAAATATAGGCCTGAAGTTGTTGATGCTATGAAAGAGCGGTCAAGTGGTCTCAAAGATTCTAAATGTTTAGCTTCTCAGCTATATAGCTTTAAATATGATCTTGGTTCCCTGCCTATAGAAGGACTATGCAACCAACATATAGTTGGGAATGAACCAAAGCTAGAAGAATTAAGTAGGGGTGATGCCGAGTTAGATCTCAAGGAGCAGGTAAATTTTATGATGTTTTGGCAGCGTGTGCAATTACGTTGTGGCAGTGACTACGTTTATGCTGTTAGTTTGTTTTTGAATGACAATAGGTAATACAAACTGCTTAAATTTCTTTATTTTGAAATGACTGTTGAACATGAAAGTAGTAAAGCGCAATGAGTTCTACAAGTCTATCATTTCCATGCTACTTGACCTAGGATGATTCTGGAGGATCCCAATGTTATTTATTTTATGGATTTTTAGGAGCATTCAAAGTTGATTTAGATTATACTAGAAAAGTGATGATTTTCTACAAGGTCCCAAGAGTTTCTTGATGATATTGAACCAATTTCAATTCCAAAATAGTCCATGGAAGGGATGCATCAAGCTAAGGAATTTTCAAATTTCAAATTGTTCAAAGAAAACCTGTATAGTGGAGTCCAGCTACAGTAGAGCAACTAAATCCTATCCTAATGTAGGGAACAATCATCTAAATTGAAAAATTCAATGGTTTTTAAACATGTTGCTTTATTTATTAGTTTTTTTTGTGTAAAAGATAGTTTTGTGCCTTTCGGCATATTTCTAGTTTGTAGGCACTTTCTAGCAACGTTTGAGAAGTTAGTTCTCATCTTATAGTTACTTGAAATTTTAATATTATTTTTGATATTTCCTTGAATCTCTATAGATAGAGATCAATTGCAGTTATTGGAGAAGTTTGAAAATGCATGAATGAACGGTTTTTTGATCCCAACCTCTTACATATTTAATGGTAGTGATAAATGCCTGGATGGATGGTGAGTCATTCAGACTAAAGCACTAATTTTAGCCGTGCTTTCTTCTTTTTCCCTCCAGAGATCAAAAACTAAATTTTATAGGTTTAATTGCCTTTAGTTGATAAATGCCTGGATGGATGGTGAGTCATTCAGACCAAAGCACTAATTTTAGCTGTGCTTTCTTCTTTTTCCCTCCAGAGATTAAAAACTAAATTTTATAGGTTTAATTGCCTTTAGCGAAGCTTTACAATATTTTAAAGTTAAACTGATATTGAATACTGTTTATTTAGAGTAGACTTATGATGGTATGTCATTTTTGTATGTAAAACGTCTTAAGCTTTAAGTTATTAAATTTAAACTCAACCTGAGATCTAGAAGAAATTGTCATGACTCGGCTCTATGGCTTATCAAGACTGGAATGGACGGTGGCAGTAAAAATAGAAGTTAACTACTATCTCCTAGTCTAATAGTAAAAAAAGAGCCATAAAATATTAAAATTAAAGCCACTAATAAAATGCTTTAGCTTGCTCTATTGTTGCTTCATCTATGATAAACAATATCTTGTTTTTCACTCATTAATTGCCTGATTTATAACAACATAATGAGTTTTCAAAATAAATCCAGTGGAATAATTGTAACCATAAATCATAGTATTCAATAAATAAAAATACCGTGTATGCTAGTTATTAAGTTACGAAATGTATTATATGATGTACTAAATCTATAAACGACAGTATATAAGACGTGGCCGATGGGTGGGCCTAGCTTGGCATGGGCTGGGCTTATTCGGGCTTTGACTAAGTCAAAGCGACCTCAGGCCGGGCCGAGCTGCAAAATTTTAATTTGTTCATTGTAAAGCCAACCCATTTTAAGCGGGTTTTTGGCGAGCCCGATGTCCTTAGGGAGATAGTTACAATATTTTAATTTTTTACTTTTCTTTTAGATGTAAAATTTTAAATCTCAGAAATTGTTGTAAATTAAAATTTTGTGAAATAGAATGTCTATTTTTTGCTTTGTATGATTTTATTTAAGAAAAAAAACTATTTAGATAGATTTTTCTCCGTCCAACCATCCGTTAACAACTTGTATTACAAACTTTTGGGTGGCTTTTTGACAATGTCGGCTCTTAGCATGGAGTAGATTATTGAGATACTAGTACGGTTGATGTTTCATAGATCCCAAAGCTTGTGAAATCTCTGAAATCACCACTATTACTAAAGGGATAGAACGTATTGAAGGATATAACTATGCTCCTAGATTTAGTGGATGTATGAAATGAGATTTCTATATTGAGGATGAATTCAGTTTATCAGTCCTAAATATTTTTAAGAATTATTCAATCATATGCCTTAACCCATTCTTTTTGAGGCAATAATCAAAGTTTTCTTCAATTGTTAGATCTATAGAGCTTTATACATTGTATTTCTCAGTAATCTCTTTTTTTGTTGGGCACCTTTTTTTTTGAAGGATAAATAAAAAACACAATACTTAATAGGGTAAATTGCAGGGTAAAATAAAAAACACAATACATAATAAGGTAAATTGAAGCTCTCATAAAAAACTTCACTAAGAGAAAGCCACCAAGCTACAAACTTATTGTGCAACCAAATAGCATGATTTTGTTTATTTTTTGAAAATCATTAGGGTTACAAGTAGCTTTTTTATGTAGAACTACAATCAAGAAATACATGGAATACTCCTACTCTACCATGTGGGGGTGGCATGCATAGAAGATTTTTGACCAACTTCTTATAATTTTCACATTTCTTAATTACAGGGGTTCGGCCAAGAAAAGTAGTAGGTTGAGTGGCACTGTGAATGCTCTTTGATCCCGTCTTCTTAAGGAAGGGCTGACCAAGGAAAAAAAAAAAAAACGTAGCAAGAGTTTTCTTGATCGATATTGTTCTTTGTATACTTTCTAGAAGGGAAAAGGCCGACAATGCAAAGAAAGGAGAATTGCTCCATTGGTATAGATTTGCTTTACCTTTCCTTGGAAAAGAGAGAGGGTCAGCATGGCCTGAAAGTGCTATTGAGTAGGAGTGCTAAGCTTAGGAATGACCACCTTTTTTTTTAACTTTCTAAAATAAGGAATGCCCAATTGCATGCTTGAAGATGGGTTCATGGTCTACATCAAAGTCATGCTTAATTTATTTTTTTAAATCTACAATGAAACAAACATTAATAACAAAATATTCATTTGACAAAATTTTTTTGGTTACAAAATCATTTAACCTATGAAAACAATCATTTTCTTAAAGGTCTTAAATGATCATACAATTAAACTCTATAGTATAAGAATGGTAATTGTTATTCTTTATATTTATTTTTAATTTTATCTCACGTAGCTGTTGTTTTAGCAACAACACTTAAGCAAAATATTTGAGCAAATTCCACAATTTTTTTATTAAATATACACTGTTGTTTTGTATATCGGCCAATAGGGACCTAATTTTGGGCCCTCTCTGCCAATTTTGTACTCCATTTTTTGGTAATCAATACAAGTACCTTTGCTTTATATTTATATATATATATATATATATATA